TTCCCTCTTTAACACAGCTGTCACTATCCCACATTCCTGGGTATTTTCCCTCTTTAACACAGCTGTCACTATCCCACATTCCTGGGTATTTTCCCTCTTTAACACAGCTGTCACTATCCCACATTCCTGGGTATTTTCCCTCTTTAACACAGCTGTCACTATCCGTTGTTCCTGCTTTAACATATCTCTTGGGCCTCATGCCCAGGAGGGCATCCTTGGTTACCCAGGCTAATTTAAGTGCCAGGCTTCCTCCCAGGAGCTGTTGTCTATGTGCTGGGTGCCTGTTTCACATGATGGAGGACTTGAGGAACACATCCTGAATTTAGACAAGTGCCCCCCAGGGGAATTCCCCGGGCAGCTAGATGATGCAGGTAAAACCTTTGTCTAGCCTCCTTCCTCTCTATCTCCCTCCACCATAGACTCAGCAGCTATTGTGCCCCCACCCCTCAGACTACCATCTGAGTATCCCACACAGCAAGTCCCCCTCCTCCAGTGATGTTCACTGCAATTGCAAACGGGTCCGACTGGTAAAATGGCTGCCCAGTAACATTGTTCCCCCGATGGCATAAATCTGTCCCTTCTCATTACACAGCGGTGAATGGCCATGGGTGCAAGTACACACAGTATGGCCGCCTGCTCTTTGTACTGTAATCTTAACAAAGAGTCAATACCTATTACTGCCCCCTGGTGGCACATGAATCAAAAGCCATTTAATTTACTTGAGGGGAGGATTTAATTTCCTTGAGTGGTGATCTCATGTAGGCAAATCTGGGCTTAGAAGCAGCACAAAGCTGTGCAGTGATAGGATATTTCTGCAATAGTTACTAATTCTAGTTTATCGACATGAATATAAGTTGTCGCTGCCCATTTGTTGCTGCCGTATCTTTGTCCTCGATATGAAGTGTTGTCAAAGTGCCCATTCTTAGAGGAAGACACTTTTGTGATGATGAAAGGGCACAGTAGCAGGACACGGTGTCATGCCTGGGGAGTCTCACGACGTCGTGTCACCGTGGGCCGCCGCGGATCCGCGCCATCGCCTGCCGTGCGGCCGTGCGAAAGTACAGGAGGGCCGCTATTCAGTTTTACTCTCGCCCAGCAGCCTCGAACTTTAACGCTGACTCCCCCCCCACCCCCCCACCTTCCCCTTCCCCCGACGCAGCCAGTCTCCAACCAGGCGAGCCCCTTCAGGGTGATGGAGGGGGTCATGGTCCATTTGCAGCCTGGCCCGCCTCCCCCGGACACCCCGGCTGCCCCATCCCGGCCTGAGGAGTGCCGCGCCCATTAGCATGTGCGATAAGCGCAGCCCGTGTCGGGGCCAA